TGCATGCTGAAAATGCTCACACTTATTATCGATCACAGGCTTAGGGAGGGAGCAGAAGACATCGGTGCTGTGCCAGTTACTTAGAACGGATTTCAAGAAAGTCTCCGTACCAACGACAACCCGTTTGTGCTCACCTGTCTAATTGACAAAACGGCATCTCTTAACAAGCCCTTGTACGTGGCCTACTTGGATCTCAAGAACGCCTTCCCAGGGACGGACCGGCCCACGCTATGGGTGAAACCCGCGTCTTTGGGTATCGGGCCCGATGATTAGGTGGCTTAAATTACTATATGATCGTATTCGTTACATTGTGCGTCTGGACGGACGCTTCGGACACGAGTTCAGACCGTTGCTCGGTATTTTAACAGGCGATCCGGGCTCTGCTCAACTCTGGAATTTGTTCATGTCCGACTTCATCCTGCCGTGGCATCCCACCCTGACAGTACTACTTGTTTGTATTCCGTAAACTCGTTGTTCAGGCTTTTGGACCACACAAGTATAATAAATCCCCCCCGTAGCTCTCGCCTACTCATCCAAAAGTAGACCACTCCAAGTGTTCATATAATATAATGCTGACATTTAAATAACAATGTTTCAATGCACTCGGCAACAAAACATGGAAGACACTTGACGCGAGCAAAGCCACAATGGACCACACCCAGCCTACACGCGAAACATCCCGACCAGGCCGCACATACAAATGCGCGGCGGATTCATTAGTGTTCTAAATGTCCCGTCTACAACTTGAAATAGAATAACTGGAAATCTACTAGTAGTTAGATTCTGACTATAGTGTATATGTATAGAACATCCGGAGGCGAGCCGAAGCATTTTGGCGGATGGGAAACTGCTGACGCAAAAACTGCTGACAAAATGGGAGTTTACTGCCAAAACCTAAGAGACCCAGCAACTTACGTTACGAGTACTTATGTAATAAGTCTCGTCTCTTTCAGAATGCTCGATCAGCAAAATCATCGATTTTTTCCTGTGTTATGCTCGAAACGTTGAGGGACTTTTTAGGGGCTGTGCTATTGAAATTAGTCGCTATGCTTAATTTCCATTCAAAAAATCGTATTGAAAATAGCGGCTGTGTCATTGTTCATATTATTTTGAGATCATTGATGGATTTTTCACCGAGTCATCTTCTCAAAAAAACTTTTTGTCTACCGGTTAATCGGGTAACTTGATATCCGAGATCTATATACAGCTTAATCTATATGGATCATCGCACCGGAACTTCGGCATAGTAGCCTCCGACGAGCTCTCATTTACAAAAATTTAAATATGATACCTATCTATAGTACGTCTAGAAGACTTAAGCTGCAGGCAACCTTGACATGCCAAAATAAAGAGGAGGAAAGGCTAGACTATAATAATGCATGTTACATTTTTCTTTGCCTTCCGAGTAGTGGTGGGTTTAGAATGTTGTATTAAACAAGCTGTATTATACAGGGTATTATACATTTTATACCCCAAGGCTCTCGGAAGCCATGTTTTTAATGCATATAAAATTAGTGCCCCTTTTGACTCAATGTTCCGCCGTTTCGGCGCCGGGATTTATACAAACATATTAAACTAATCAAACCCAGCACTACTTCCGAGTCTACCGAAGCTACATGTTTTCGTTTAGAGTATATTCATGAGAACTCAAGCCCATATTTCGGCCATAAAACACCTTCTAGTAACCACTCTGTGCAAGAGTCAGTCGAACTAAGAACAAATATAAGTACGAGTTTTGCCGGGCAACGCCGCGGCCCTACTACCCAAGTTACTGGGAATATCCAACGGGTATGGTTGCACTTCTACCTTCAAAGGCATCCTCGCACAAATAATCTCCTTGACTGTCTTCTTACCTGCGGATCTGCGTCTCTCTTACGGGCGCTCTTGGTCCTGTCCGAATTCGCGACGAGGATCCAACGAGGATCACGATATGAATCAGTGGATTTCTAGTTTGGTAGCCGATCAATGCCCCAGCGGGAAACGATGACTGATGGGCCCAGGTAGGGCCCATCGAACCGCGCGCACGGACTTCATTACTGTTCCATCCTCGGCGGATATACCGCAATTTTCTGCATGCCTTCCAGCAAGAAGTGTCACCCGGAGGAGTATGTGTCTGGTGAGAGGAACCAGCGTTTCATGAACCCCATTCGCATTCCTGTGTTCAAATTTTATTTGCCTGCCACGGTGAGTTCTCTGTGGTATAAAGGCCCTCCAAAGGAGTCACCTAATCTTCAGCACCTTCTAGGTTCTTCCCCACACGGTACTCTTCAGTCATGAAATTCACCACCTCTTTCCTTGCGCTCTGCACTGTCGTCTACGCGGCTACAGTCCCCCGCACCTTCCCCCCTGTGCACGTCGACAAGGTCATCGATGCCAACGCATACATGTCTGGCAACACGACGAGCGTCGTATGTAACCAAGCCTTGTCGAGCGAATCCAGTTTCGATTTTTCGATTTGATTTGACAGGATGTCGAGAAACGCGCCCTCGGCACGGTGTAGGTGGCACTGAGCGGAATGAAGAAAATAAACACTTACATCTAATCTTCCAGGTTCCTCTGCGATGCAGCCTTCTTCTCTGGCTATTGCGTTGCCATCACCGGTGAATTCGACGGCGGATGTGTCGACCTCGCTGCGGATCTCGACAACCAAGTATCCAGTTTTGGACCTGGTACGAGAAATATTCATCGCGTCATTGATTTTCTAATGCGCACATATATAGATCAAGGCCAGCGCTGCCAGCTGTTCAAGTCAGTCTGATGAATTCTTTTCTGCCCTTTCCCCGAGTTTGACATGGTACATCGATAGTGCTCATGGATGCGCGACTTCCGGTGCCGGCACACCTGCCTGGTCGGGCCCCATCGCGTTCCCTGGAGTTCAAGACTTGAGCGTTTCTTGGGTTGACAATGACGGCAAGGTTAATGCGCCCTTCAATGATATTATCTCCTCGTACAGGTCTGCATTTAATTCCCTTCAAGCTCTTCGACTGATATTTACACATCCAGGTGCACCTGGTAAACCATGGTGGTGGATTCTTGCTCAGTAACAGACGTCGATGTTCTTTAGGGTGGCGTTATTTTGAATAGGCTTATTCTGTGTGGGTTCAACACCCGCTTAACCTTCTCCAACCCTTGCGACTTTCCGAGGCACTTTTGAGTTTAAATTGAATCAACTAAGGTTTCTAGATTGTCCTTTAGCAACACTTACCAGGAGAAAAAAGTCGTGGCTTGCAATTTCCAGCCATTCTGCTCGACTCAAGGAGACAGTCATCTCTGCTTACATATTTTGTGGATGGAATCGGAGCATGGATGTCTATATAGACTATACACACACGCTCCACTGTTTCTTCTTCTTCTTCTTTCGTTCATCCCAGCCATTTAGAATAAGACATGAGTATAAAGGATCGTCCTGGTCTTCAGACCTTTATATCTTGGAAAGTTCTCGTGACCCCAGTACTTCCTCCCCAAAAAATCAAACAACTGCTTTTCTACCTTAATTAGCCTTTGAAATGGTGCATGTGCTCGCCGCTGTACGGAAAGAAGACTGAAGGTATGCCACGGAACATCCCGGAGTCCAAGGAGAATCTTCAGTTTCATCCGATACGGAGAATCTTGAAGCGAGCAGATATGGAAAAGACCATGGGTGGTGTCCCAAACCCCGACCTTTTTTTCTAGTACTCACCTTCCCTGCCGATCACCATTCCCATTTTTCCAGCCTCAATTTTCTCAACTTCCTGCATATCATATTGATGCACTCGTCATCTTACCCACGCGGGCACTCGCAGACGGACGCGATGTGCGCATAGTCAAACGTCGTGGCGAGCTACGTGAGGGCCTCAAGCACCTGCCGTGCTCTGCGCATCGTACGCCCTCAAGTCCTCTGCCCACCGACTTGTCCTGCCGTCCGACACCTAGAGGAAGACACGTCGTCGAGCGCTGCCGTGGGCTGTCGCCCGCAGAGAAATTGAGCCCTCCGCACCTGCCCGCGATGCCCTGCACTTGCACTACGGAATTGACACCGTAACGATTCCGCATGAAGCCCAGCTCGGCGAAGGCGATGAGGACTACATATATTGTTTGTCGTGTTCCTGGGATATTCATTTATTTCGGGCGATGAGGTGAGTGTTCGGGAGGTGAGTTAGGTCGGGGAGGTGCGTTAGTTGGATTGAAAAAGGGCGGTCGCTGGGCGTCTGATAAGAGGGGGGTCAGTAAATGAAGTTGATGAGATCATGAGCAGGTGGAAGCAAGATAATGAACCCAAAGCGCAGCCGCACACGCGGACCATTCCTCCGACTGTGCTGCAGCCCATGGAGTGGTTCGATCTGCTTTTAAAATTCACCTGTCTTTATGATATGCTCCCTGGCGCGCTGGTCGGGCTGAAACCCGCGAAATTCCGCGCGCGGAAGTCCAAGAGCCCCGCACTTCGCCAGCAGCGATGCAGGAAATGACGACCACTTCTAGGCGCGGTACGAGATTACGATGAGCATGCTCCTGCATGCATCTGCGGTACACAGTGCCGCCAGACATGGCGGTTACGGCCACTCCGTGCGCGCAGTGCGGTGTCGTCAGATATTGCGGAGCCCAAGTAAGTCGATACTCTTCTAAACAAGCACTGACTGAAACACCTTACAGCGCCAGAAAGCAGCGTGGCAGGCAGAGCAGTCCCCGCACAAAGACGTCTGCGTCCTCATTGCACGCATTTGCGAGAGCCTTGATTTAGGGTGTTCGCCTGGTTCCACCTCCAATTCCGACGATGATTACAGGCAAGAATCCCGCCGCATGGATGTCGTGTGTGAGATGATGTTAGTGGGAGACGGGGGTTCGATTCAGGGCATAAATACGGGTTCTCGTTCTTTTTCTAGCTGTTGTGCGTCCCTTCGTGCCTCAGAATGTTGGTCCCTGGATCTTCGGTATATCTACCAGAAGAAGCCTTCCAACCTATTGTATGGAATAATGTCGGGGAGAAGTCGAGCATATATTCAAGCTCCTTGGAAAGCCAATAAGCCCTTGTTGATTAATGGTATATCACCCACCAGCCGTGAGTAAGTTCAAAGCCTAAGGATACTTAGTGGGAAACGGGGGTTCGATTCCTCCCGAGCGTATATATACAGGTTTTTATCCTTTTTTTCTCCCTATTGTGCTTGCGAACCCTTTCGTGCCTCAGAATGTTGGTGCCTGGATCTTCGGTATATCTGCCAGAAGAAGCCTTCCAACCTATTTTATGGAATAATGTCGGCGAGAAGTCGAGCATATATTCAAGCTCCTAGAAAAGCCAATAAGCCCTTGTTGATTAGCGGTATATCACCCACCAGCCGTATTGAAGGAGTACCGAGCCTAAGGATACTTGGTGGGAAACGGGGGTTCGATTCCTCCCGAGGGCATGCAGTGTGTGGAGCCATTTTTTTTTGCCGGTGTCCTCAAACCCCCGTCTCCATGATTTTACTTTACCTTGTTGCCTGGACCTACGTACGTGTATCTGCTGGATAAAAATTTAAAACTTGGTCCAAGGAATTCGGACTGAGTAATTTCGTGGATGCTTGTTGGAAAGCCGCGTTGATTGATGGTAAATCACCCACCGGGCGTCCATAAGAATCATGTTAGATTAATATAGTGAGAGACGGGGGTTCGATTCCTCCGAGGGGCATAAACGTTGTTGCGAACAGTTTTTTATTTATTCTGCTGTTGTATTCGATGGTGGCGGATCTTGAGGCTGTGCAAACTTGGGCCAAGCCGCGGAGAACCCTTTGGTGGCGCCGTGTCTGCATCCGTCTCAGCTCCCGGCTAACTGTATGAACGAGAACGCAGTCTGCTTTCATTCGCGGTTTTAGGAAGGCACACAAGCCCTTGTTGATTGAATATACGCAGCCTTTTCAAATCTGCATGTGGGCGATGGGGGTTCGATTCCCCCAAGGGCATGGTAGCGTCGACTGTGGTCACCTTTTTTTTCAGTAACGGCGGGAGCGGGTTTGCTGCAGTTTACAAGTAGGCTCTTTCGACAAAACCTGATCCGGTTAGACGCAGTTGGAACGAGCGAGCTACTTAAAGTGAGTGCAAGGCTCGTGGCACACGAGGCGGTGTCAAGACTCAAAACCACGAGGGAGGGCACCTGGCGCACGGCGACTCGAGGTCTCCGACAGGGGGGACGGGCGTCTCGCACGAAGCACAGCGTTATTGAAGCTTGAAGTCCTGCACTGTAGCATATATGAAGTCCCGCATTGAAAGCCGTCCCGATCTGATGGCTCATTTGACTTGATTAGGTTACATAATACCCACCCACAAGCTTGTGAATCCATCACCGTCGTTGTCGTCGTCGTCGCCGTCTCCTTTGCGTCTCATCTTTCTTTTTCGTCGGCGACACACACGCTCTTCTTGGCGGCGGGCTACGCAGGACATAACCCCTAACCCTAGGGTCAGCGATGCCCTCCATCTTCTCGCGCGCGCGCACCTCCTCCACTGGAGGAGGGCGCGGAAAGGACAAGGACAAGGACAAAGACAAGGCCCGGCCGCCGCTCCCGCTCTCCCTCGGCGGCCCGGACGAATTCGGCGTCAGCAGCAGCAGCGCCCACCGAGCCCGCACCGTCAGTTATGCGACGCCGCTCAGCCCCGGCGGCGCGGCGGGCGGGGCCGGCGACGGAGAATTTGCGGGCATCGGGTTCCTGCCGACTGCCACTACGGCCGCCGCCGCCGCCCCGCCGAGCCTCTCGTCGTCGACCAACTCCACTAGCAGCTCCATAAGCTCCATAAACGGCTTCAACGGCGACGCCTACACGGGCTTCCGCCCGCACGCCTACGGGTTGCTGTCGCCCGCGCGCGACGCCGTGCTGGGCCTCGCGGACGTCGTGCGCCTCACGGCGCGCGTGTGCGAAGAGATGGAGAGGGAGGGCGTCGCGACCCCGTTTGTGTTTTCCGCGCTGGCGCTGGATGTGCGACGGGCCGGCGTGGCAAGGCTCGTGAAGGCTTTTTTGGGGACGTGTGAGGGTGCGTTCCTATTTTTCCGATTTTATTTTATTTTTATGTACCGCACCTCAGGATCTCAATCTGCCGCGGCCGCCAAATGGGCCGAGGAGGCGCGCTTTGCAGGCCCGCACGAGCTCGGCATGTGTTTGCGCTGGGGCCTCAGCCGCGTCGTCCGCGTCGAGGGCGGCCGCGAGGTCCGCGGGCTGCTCAGCTGGACGTGGTACGAGCGCTGGCGGGCCGAGGAGGCGGGTGAGTACCTTTTCCTCTGTTATTTCGTTTTATTTTTGGCGATGGTTGGCGGCTTCTTCGCTTCTTTGGATACTTTTTTTTTCCCGTGTTTTCTGTTTTTTTCTTGTGTTTTTGTCGACTGTCTTTGCGTTTGCGTTTGTCCACGGTCTTTTGGGTTTATTTTGCCAGGTTTTCCTCGGCGGATGTGCCTGCTTCTTTGGCGCTTTGTTCTCTGCATTTTTCTTTTTCTTAGATTTGGTTTGCGTACTTGGGACGGCGGCGTTCTTACTTCCTTTTTACGTCTTTCTCTTCTCCGATTTCCTTTTTTGGGAGCGCCCACCTTGTCCGCGGCGAAGGGTCTCCCTCTTCGCCCGCCCGACGCCGCCCCCCCGCCCCATATACCGACCCCGGGCGGTGCGGGTCCTGGATGATGTCCGCGGCCGCCCATACGACATCGCTGCGATATGCGGCTGCGTGTATTCGCGCAGCACGCTAGTGGTGGTACGCAGCATGGTGGCGGTGGGTGTATGTGCGTGCAGGTGTTGGTATATGCGCTGGGTGTCGGTGGTGGTGGGCGGCACGGCGGTGGTGGGTGTATGCGCACGGTGGTAGTGCGCAGTGCCGAGACGTCGATATATGCGCAACAATGTATGCCCTCCTCCGCCTCTTGTCAGACTCGTCGACCCGCGCGCTTGGCTCGGGGTGCATACGGGCGCCCCCGTCTCCCGCAGGCGTCGATGTATGCGCTCCTCCGCCTTTTGTCGGACCCACGCGCTTGGCTCCGTCGCGTCGGCCTCGTCTCGGGAAAGGTCGATATATGCGCCTGCCCGGGCGTCGAGACGCCGATATATGCATCCTCCAGAGCGTCTTCCTCGGGCTTATCATGGCGCGCCCGTGGATGGTCTTGCAGAGGCATAGGGTATTTTGCGCGAAAGACGTCGATATGCCCCTGTTCGAGCGCCGAGACGTCGATGTATGCGCCCTCCCGAGCGTACCCCGCCACTTTCGGGCTTATCGATCTGCGGGCTCGGCTCGGGTGCGCGGAGGGGTCGATATATGCGTGTGCCCCATCCCAGGCGTCGATACAGGCGCCCACCAGGGCGTCCTCCACCCCCGCCTGCTGCTGGGCTTATCGATCCGCGCGCTTGGTGGAGGGGTGGCTACGCCTCCCGCTCCGCGTGGGGAACGTCGATATATGCGCATGGTCCGCCCCAAGCATCGATGCATGCGCTCCTCACCACGCATCCCTTGTCCCCCGCTTGTCTGTCCGTGCTCGCATGCACCGACTTCCTTCCTTCCTTCTCTCTTTGCGGAGCCCACTTTAAATTCACTCTTCTTTCCCATTCGCGTTTTTTCTTTCGTCGGGTCGACGCTACTATTCTATCGCGCGCTCCCCGCAGCTACGATGATGGCGGCGCTACGGTGGTGTTTGATTCCCCGCTTGGACGGCGATGCCTGAGCGCCTGGCGCCGACTTGTCAGGCAACGACAAAGGTGGTATTACCCGCCTCATCCTGCTCGGACCCTCAGCTGCCTGCATCCGCGCGTGACGGAGCGGGATGCGGTCGTCGCTACGTTGAGCAGGATGCCGTCGTCCCCGCGCGGCTCGTGGACCCGTCGTCCTTGACGCGGTCGTCCTTACGCCTGGTCCTCGTTATGTTTGCGCAACGGTGCCGTCTTCTGCATTCTTTCCCGCACCCATTGTCCTGCTACGGCCGTTCCTGGTCCTGCGTCCGCCTCGCGTCGGTCTGCTTGTGCGTCTGCTGGATCAATTGCTGTGTATGCGCGTCTTTGGGGCGTCGAGGACGGCCAGGAACTTGCTTGAGCCTCGCCGCCGTCTTTCTTTATTTCTCTCGGATCCGCGTCTTTTATTCTCATATTCTTCTTGCCTCTGTTCTTTTGCTTACATTTCGTTTCACCACCTATTTCGTCCCTCATCCTACCATACTGACTATCTTTCCTTTATCTAGCTGCCGGTTACCCACCCACCGCCTTTGCCTCCTTCCTCTCTTCCCTCCCCGCCCAGCTCCCGCCCATCATCGAGCCGCTCTTCGCCCTCGCCTCGCGCCTCGTCGCGCACAGCAACGTCTCCGGCGAGACGCCCCCCTCCCTCGCCTCCGTCCTCGGGCCCCTCCTCTTCGGGCTCTCCCCCCCTTCCCTCGCCTCCGCCTACCCCGTGCACGCTACGCCCACCAAGGACGGCAAGACCAGCGCGGAGGACCTGCTCATCCCGACGATCGACGACTTCAGCTCGTTCGGCGAGACGTACGCAGCGTACCTCAGGGGAGCAAGGGCTGCGGAGCACCTGCTGCTTGCGGCGATCCGGCAGGGGATCAGCGGGACGGGGGCGGCGGGGCTGGGGGTGCCGACGCGGCTGAGGGAGTGGGTCGCCGGGTACCCGATGAGTCTGGATCGCACGGAGGCGACGGGGGCGGGTGAGTGCTTATTTCGTGTTGCCAGCTGGATTGGATGCTGACAAGGGTATTTGACGTGCAGGTGGCGGGGGCAAGCCGAAGGGCGGCGCGCGGCGGGGGGCGAAGACCGTTAGGGTGGTGCATGTACGAAGGAATGTCAGGGCGTATGCGTCGGACCTCGTGCGCGGGGGGTCGACGTGGGCGTCGTCGTCGGCGCCCGCGGGGCCGACGTCGAGCACGTCGGCGCAGGGGGGCAGCGGGTGGGGCGGCAGCAAGGCGTGGCGCGGAGTGCTCGCGGGGGGGAGCGGCGCGCCGCGGTATGCGGACAGCTATCGCAAGCGCATGGACCTCGGCGCGGGCGTGCAGCCCGACACCGGCGCGTCCTCTTCGTCCTCTTCGTCGTCTTCGCCGTACGGCGCGATAGTATACGGGAGCTCGGTACAGGTGGGGGCGCAGCAGGCGAACCAGTCGGCGCTGGGGCTGGGGCTGGGGATGGGCGGGATGGGCGGGTCGAACGCGACGCTTGTCGATGACGGGGCGGCGGAGAAGTTCCGCTCGCTCACGGACTTGAAGTGGGGCGAGTTTGAGAGTCTGGGCTTTGGGGACAACGGGGGCGGGGGCGCTGGCGGGGGCGGATTTGGGTTTTCGGGCGGCGGAGCGGGGAAGGGTGCGGGGGGGATCGAGGGGAAGTTGAGGTTTGATTTGACAGAGAATGCAAGGGCGGTGAGTGGGTTTTTGCATTGTGGGCTGTCGCTGCATGTTTTTTTTTTTTTGGCGTCTGCT